TTTTTTTTTTGCACAATAATAGTAATACTGCAGTTACAAATTATTTATGATGTGGAATACCTTAATTCATGGCATTCTCCGAATAGGAACTCTGCTTTTAGACAATGTGGTAATTACAAAGGGAGGTTAACCAGAAGTTCAAAGACTTTGTGACCTTCACCTTCCCCGTTGGTAAAATGAAAGGGAATGACTGGATACTTTTGCAGGTCTCCGTTGTCATAGAGCCTATGACTAACTAGATTAACATTTTAAATGTATATTTTAGGGGGGGGAGCTTATCCTTTGTTAAATAAAACACATCTTGGCTATATCTTTAAGGAAATATACCAATTATCAGTGTCCAATAGTAATAACAGAATAAATTATTATTTTTTAAAATATATTTTTATTGGTTTTTAGAGTGAGAGGAAGTAGAGGGAGATAAAAAGAGAAACATCTTTGTGAGAGTGAAACATTCACCAGCTGCCTCCTGCATGTCCCCTACCAGGGATTGAGCCCATAACCTGGCATGTGTCCTGACCACGAATGGAACAGGCAACCTTTTTGGTGTGTGGGATGATGCCCAACTAACTGAGCCACAATGTCCAGGGCAAGAAATTATTTTGATCTTTGAAGGGAACAGCTAATAATTTTCCTTTCAGGACAAATTTCATGGAATTTTTGGACACTTGAATAGACAAGCACGGGTAAGAGTATGACAATGGGAAAAGAGTGGGATTCAGAAGATTCTGTGTTACAAAAATCAGCAAATTCTTCAGACAAATCCAAGGAAGAATCACAAAAGCAGATGAATATTAAAGGTTGGATGATTATGAATGTATTTGGGATTACTTTGAGAAAACTAATTTTTTGTCTCTATGGAGAGATGCAAAACAGCATGCAAGAAAGCCCACCATGTCAATGTGAACATTTATGAAATGGACAGAAAATCACATCCCTGTACCGAACCAACAACTCTCAGGCTACTTTGCCTGACACCATGTGAAAGGTGAGTGTGACCTACACTCGGAAAGTTGAGGATAGACAGGTCACAGCTAGAGTATAATGGGTCTTACTACCATCCGAGTTCCCCCGAGCCCTGCTGAGTTTGGAAGGAAACTAGAGAAAAAATATCAGCAAAAAGATCTCCCTATGGTGCAGCAGGCAGGTTGATGATGCTATTGTCTTTGAAAAAGATAATAAATGTGTTCTTATTCCAAGTTTTAAAACATTATTTACATTTATTAAAAACTAGAGGCCTGGTGCACAAATTCATGCATAGGTGGGGTCCCTTGGCCTGGCTGACAATCAAAGCCTATGGGGGGCCAGCAGGCCA